CCGTATTCTTCGGATATCCTGGACAGACCACATCACTAACGTGGAAGTAATTTAGAGAATAGGCAAAAGCAAATAAATAATCTTCACCGTAAAGAAACGGAAGCTTGAGTATTTCGGACATGTTATGAGGCATACTAAGTTCCCGCTGCTACAGTTAATAGTCCAAGGAAGAATCGACAGTAGGAGAGGACCGGGAAGAAGACGACACTCATGGATGCATAACCTGCGACAATGCTTTGGACTAACATCCACCGAACTGTTCAGAGGTGACAACCCGTAAACAAAGTCACAATAGCCTTGTTAATAGCCAACGTCCGAAACGGATATCGCAAAGGAAGAAGAAGATGTAAGAAAATTAAAAAATCAGCAATTTTAAGATAACAAAGTTCTATGTCTCCAACTATTTGGGAAAGTATGTACGAATTCCTTTCATATTTTTACAGTTAATATGTTTTCTGTTACGGTACTGTAATGTGATCTAGTGTAATGCTGTATTCTAAAAACCTTTTTAAAATATATTATTTCCTGTTACTTCGTAACACTTAAACTGGCTATCTCATTTATTGTGTTGAAGTACGAAGAATTTGGCTTTCTCCTTTGTATTTTGTGTTAGAAAGATTGAAACAAGTGTAAGGTATAATATTACCGTAACAATTAACTTTAAATTATCGCCATTCAAAATCGTCCGACAATAGGGTTGATTTATGACATGCCCTGGCCTAAGAACATTTGACCACCCAACGGCTAGGGGGTGTTTTTTGCCCTAGTAACGATCTCAAAATTCTCAATACAGGCACTTTAATACAAAACAGCGAGCGACGCGGACTTAGTTTGGACGATTCTCGTGCTTAAACTTAAACTTAAGCTTAAAATGTACAAATAAATATTGCATTTTTTCTTTATAACTATTTATCCAATATCATTTAACCAGCAACCTCTTAAGTTTAATCCTAAACACCAACCCTGCGCTTAGTTGATAAAGTGACGATTAAAATCTGCTTTTACTAAAACTAACTTTGCAGCGGTTTGTAATCAAGAAACGTAAAATATTGTTAGCTAAATAGTGTATTTAAACAACAAAGTTTCTTCACACAAAAAATAAACTGTGAGTACATTACCAATTTAATACAAATTCAATATTATTAAATATTATACATAACCCATAATTCAATACAACACATCAATTAATCCAGTTTCTGTTTTTTTTTTTGGCAACTTCGATAGGCCGAACTAATTAGCCGATACATGACCGGCGCTAGAAAAATTTCATCAAATGAAGAAAACAAAAATTAAAAATGGATGATTCTGAAAATATTAGTATAGGTACCTACTACATCATCAACATCGACATATTCCAATGCAGCAAGCAACTTCAATTTTCCTTCAAAAGAACAAGCCATTATTTTGTCAGCTATCCAAGGTGTGAAAATACATAGTAGCCATAGGGTCTCTACTCATACCAAAAAATGTTAGCTTTGCATCACGAATAGCTAACAACCAAGTTTGTATTTACTTGAACAATACTAGCATAGTAGATACCTTACTAAACAACCATAAACCTGTAGTCATCTAAGGCAATGAGATAGAAATTCGAAGACTTATTACGCCAGCAAGGAGACTAGTAATATCCAACATCTGCCCCAGCATTCTGAACAGCATTCTAGAAGACGAACTGAAACAACTAGAACTAAATGCAATATCAAAATTAATGTTTTTAAAAGTTGGTATGCCGGAGTCTAAGTAGAGATACAATGGAATTCTTATATTTCACAGAATAATTACCAGGTAAGAAATATTTAAATTGAAATAATTTTATTATATCTATTACCTTAATTACCTAATTGTAAAGGAGAGTCGGTACACCTTGCGCACCTATTGTTAAAAGATTAAAAGATTTATTGGGTACATCCATAGACCTGAGCGAAGTGTACCGCCAATCAAAGAGTGGGGGCTGCAGTCTTAATCGGATTTTAGATTGATACCGCCCTCTTCAATATTATTTAACTTTGGCAATACATTGCAAATATGTCTCAGTCTATGTACTGTCCCTGAGTGTGTTTTATGCTAAGTACAATAGTTTTTGAGTAATTTTTAATAGTAAACACAATAGTGTTATGTGCAAAATATGAAGATAGCAAAAAATAGTAAAAGATGGAAAAAAAAGTACAATACAAAAAAAAAAATATTAAAAATACCTTTTATAATTTTGTTTTGTCAGTTCAAAATTCACCCTAGCGGAATTATTTCCTTGGTAAATGAATTGGAAAAGCTTTGTAGCATACAGTGGTATTTAAAAATTACTTTTTTTATTTTAACCTAAGCTACCACGGATTAGTTAAGAGGCTAAAAATTAGTAGAAATCGAGCAGAATCAAGTGGTATTTCAAAATTTTTATTTGAATTCGCTAGCTTAATATTTGAGCTTCCGCTTAATAGCTTAATATTGACTTTCCACAAGGAGTAGTTAAGAAGTGAAAAATTAATAGGGTGGTCATACATTTGTAAAAACCTATCAAAATACTGGGGACTTATATTTTAATTCTGCTGTCTCGAATATTTAGCTGGCGGAAATATTTGCAAATAAAATTACTTTAGTGGTGGAAAATTATCAGGGTGGTGAACGTATAACAAAAACTTACCAGAACACTTTTTTATTTAAATTATAAGTAGAGTACAGTGAAATATAAAAAAAATTGTCATAAATTTTAACCTAACAGAAATATTTATTGATTGATAGAGTACAGTAAAATTGTAAAAATAGATTTTTCATCACCTTAAATTTTATCCTAAGGCCTGTTGACTTTCCACATGGGTTAGTCGAGGGTGAAAAATTACTAGGGTGGTAATAAATTCGTAAAAGCCTAGCAGAATATTTGATATTTCAAAATTAATTTTTAATAATTCCGCTGGATCGAATATGAAGCTTAGTCTAAACTCTAAAATGAAAGTTTAGTCTAACCTTAACAGAACACTTTTTTATTTCAGTTATAAGTAAAGAAGAATGAAATTGTAAAAGAATATTTTTTTACCTTAAATTTTAAACTAACAGAATTATTAGCTTTCCATAAGAGGCAGTTAATGGGTGAATAATTACTAGGGTGGTAATAAATTCGTTAAAACCTAGCAGAACACTGTGGTGTTTCACAAATATATTTTTTTCTAATTTCGCTGACTCAAATATTAAGCCAGCAGGAACGTTTGAAAACAGGATTGATGTAGGGGTGCAAGATTATCAGTGAGGTTAAAGTTTAGTAAACGTTAAAAAAACTGTTTTTTAATTCGGTTATAAGTGAGAGTGAATTTGAAAAAAAAAAAGAATTTTTTTCCCTAAATTTTAATCTAACAGAATTATTGATTTTCCATAAGCAGTTTTAAACGTAAGCAGCAAAATCGCTCCCCTTAAGGGTGAGTTGGTGGTGAAAAATTATTAGGGTGGTAATAAATTAGTGAAAAATAGGTAAAAAAACATGCCGTCAGCAAAAAGTTTTTTTGTCTGAATTCTGCTAGCTTGAACCTTAAGCCAGCAGAATCGCTCCCATTAAAGATGGTTTGGTGGTGAAAAAATATTAGGGTGGTAATAAATTAGTGAAAAATTGGTGAAAAAATATTCCATAAGCAAAAAGTTTTTTTTTCCGAATTCTGCTAGCTTGAACCTTAAGCCAGCAGAATCGCTCCCCTTAAGATTGGTTTGGTGGTGAAAAATTATTGGGGTGGTAATAAATTAGTGAAAAATTGGTGAAAAAATATTACGTAGGTTAAATTGGATTCGGCTCATTTGTCCCCGCTAGCTTAAGGGTCCTTATTTTTAACAGCTATTTTCACATGTTTTTTTGCAATCTTATTGTTTTGTAGATTTTTAATTTTTTTTTGTTTATCATTGTATTATGAAATCTTAAGCTACATTACTAATTACAGTATTTTGATAATTGCAGTATTAATTATAAGAAATATCTCAAAATTGTACATAATGATGAAAAAAAAACTATTCGATTCCAGTTTTCTTCGTTTTTTGCGTTTTTTGCGAACATTTCCTATAGTAATGTATATTTTTTTACACTATCAGAAAGTAGAGAATTCAACGAACAAAAAGCCCACCGACTTTTTTTAAATAGGCTGATATTTTGACGCGTGAATTTTCGATTAAAAATTAGGGTGCTTTTTCGATAATAAATCAATATCAGGTAAAAAAAATTAATTTTTTAATTCCTAAAAATTACAGTGTATTTGATACATACTAAGCAAGTTTTCACCAAATTTCGTAATTTTTTTTTAAAGATAAAAATGAAAAATCAAAAACTTTCTGATTTTTTTTTTTTTTCAAATTAATTCAAAGTTAATTGAAAAAAAGCTGTTCTGAAATTGTATCCACAAAAATTTTGAGGTTATGTGAAAAAAGTGTAAATACAAAAGTTGTAAATCTTTTTGTTACCAAACCTTTGCTATTTAACACCTTTCCATAGCACTTGTAGTTTACCGCCGAAAATCGCGATAAACCGATTTTTACCCTTAACCCCCCCCCCTTACCACTTCCCGACCGGGTGCAATTTATTTTTTCTTCCAATTTTAGCATATTCTCTTCTTTTTCCAATAGGTTTCATTCTACTATAATTTTTTTTTGGTTTCAAAAATTATCGACCCCGGTGTAATGTTTGTACTTCTTCAATTAAACACGAATGGTAACTGGCATTATAGAATTTTGTGTTATGGTATTAACCTTCTGAAAGAAATATTCTTTAAATGCGTGTGCAGTCATTTGCAGAAATTAACAATGGCAAGTGAAACCTTGAAGAGACCTCCTCAAAACGATGGTTTTTCTAATACCAAACTTATTTAGCTAAGAAGTAGTACCAAAGTAAAATCTAAATTTAAACAACTCTTTCACCAATACAATCTTTTGGTACGCTGACAGTTTCAATAACCTAGTCATCTGGTTTTGACATTAAATTTTTATTATTAAGAATATAAAAACAGGTTATATGAAATGCAAAATAAAAATAACATTTCAGTAATTAAGCGTATTTATTAAGCGAATTGTAATAAAAGACAAAACTTTAGTACAATTAGAACAACTAAAATCTGAGGTTGTACTGCGAAGTGTTGATATCTTCTGTCGTTAATGTTTGTCTAAAAAAAAAATATTATATTATTACCTTGGTATTAGTTCCAAACATTTTTTTTTAATATCAATAATTAATACAGGCCTACTACAATGCTGCTTTTCGGATTAAAAAGTTTTTATATATTTTTAAAATTCGGATTTGTATTGTTTGTTAATTTAATTACTAAACAGCAGCCTAATAGTGGTAAAAAGATAGGACGCAAAGGTAAAATTGCCTCAACTTTTACACTCTTCATGAAAACAATGAAAATACCATAAATCTACGAAGATTTGTTGACAAATATAAACCAGGCAGCCAACGTCGCTATCCCAAAACATTCTTCCATTAAAGAAAAAAACAAAGATCATATTCCGAAACCATGGAAAAACAATCATTGTCAATTAGCAGCTGAAAATAGAAAACATGCATTTATAAATTTTAAACTAAATCCAACACTCCAAAACCTAATGAAGTATAAACAACTAGATGCTATTGCAAAGGAAATCTTCAAACAGAAGGAAAAGAAGAATTGGATTGATTTTGGCGAAAGCCTAAACTCAAGAACACCAATAAAAGATGTCTGGCGAAAATTTAATTGTTTTAAAAACAGCAAACAAGCCAACAAAGTACCTATTGATCCAGAAGATACATTATTGCTGGAATTCCATAGAAAAAATGCTCCTGCATGGGTTCCAAATATTGACACTGTACAAGAATATATCCAATCAGCACCCAGACAAAATCTCAATTTTGACGAAAATTTTCATTTATGGGAATTGCATCGAGCCCTTGAATAAAGAAATAATGCTTGGTAGTACTAAGGTATTGACAATGTGTCATACTCACTATTATACAACTTACCTATAGAATATAAAATTTCATTAGTAAAAATTTTCAACAATATTTGGACAAATAAGTACCGAATAGTTGTAAAGAGTACCTGGTAATTCCGATAAAAAAACCTGACAGACGAGAACGTGATCCAAGTTCTTACCGACCTATCTCCTTCTCTTCATGTCTTTTAAAAACATTTGAAAGAATAATTAAAAATAGATTTAAACATTGGCTAGAACACGATGGTATATTTTCAAGTTCCCAATATGATTCTCGCAAATCTAGGTCCACTCAAGATGCAACTACAGCTCTAGTTACTTCAATTCAGCCTAATTTTACGTCAAATAAGTCTACAGCAACTGCGTTCCTTGACATTTATGCTGCTTGTCTCTACGTGTATACTTTTACAATATTACAAGGCTCTTTAAAAGCAAAACTTACCAAAGACAATAAATTCACGGTACGAAGAAAAACGAAAATATTTCAACCTCAAGAATATTTTGATATATTTTCTGACAACCGTCATTAAATATCCAGAATTTGAAGTAATGGATTGGAAAACAGGAAAAAATGGGGGTATTGAAAAAGCTCCCAACTCGGTATTTTTGAATCAGCAAATCGTCAAGAATTACAATATTACGGGAGAAGAGATTACGAGGACATATAATTGTTTTTCAAAGAGAGATGTACTACAAATCTGACAATGGAACTACATTATCAGTAACCAAGAAAGCTAGAGCATTGACTGGTATATATCCTGCAGTTTAACCTTTAGGTGTAAAGGCCAAAGAAGCAAAACTTGGAGATGTAAACAAGCTACTAAACAAATATTTCGATACAAAATGGAAGCAAATGCAGGAGCTAGAATTCTATACCAAAGCTTAAACGAGAATGAGCGACATATGCAGAATTTGGAAGATCCAATCTATGAACATTCAGAATTTATTTTTTGTTTTCGTGTATCCTCGTGTTTCCTCTAAATGAGTTTTTTCTTTTATTTAATTACCCATATACTGTCTCCAATCAAATATAGATATTTAGGGACATAAAATTAAGCAGTTTGGATGCAAAAATGGACATTTCCAAATTTAATTTCGTTTTCTCTTGTTTATGCCTTATCCTATATTTTAAAATTTATAACAGGATAATTTTGAATATTTTTAAAAATCGACAGAAGAAAAAAATTTAAAATATATTAAAAAGTAAAGTTGTAAATTGTTTTTTTTTTAGTTTACTTAAAGTGGAAATGTCCGGTTTTGGATCTAGACCCCTCAAATTTTGTCGTTCTCTCATTCATGCAAAAAAATGCTCTCATTCATGCGTTCTAAAGTTCATTTGAACACAGAGGTGGTTGTTAATTTCTTGGATACAATACAACATAAAACTAATTTCATAAACAATTAGTCTGTTTAACAAGAAAGCACTTACTGCAATCTGACTGCTCAATGGTTACACATTTTTTATTTTCTTGGCTCCAGTAAAGATCAGCTGGGCATTGGAGAGGGCCTATCCATCTATTGTTTTCGCATTCAAAAAATCTGTGGCAATCAGGTAAATACTCATTTCGATCACCTTCTTGGCAAACACTTGCTGTAAATTAAAAAAGTTAATATCTAATATATTTTGACAACAAAATATTAATTGTAAATACAGAGAAATTAATAGATGAGAAGAATATATAAAAGAGCTATTTAAAGACAACGAAAGAATGGAGATATTAAAAACAACAGGTAGGAATGGACTTACAATTAGCAAGAGAGGAATTAAAAATCACTAGAACGTATAAAAAATAATAAAGCTATAGCACTAGATAAAATAGCTACAGAAATCTTAAAACTACGAACAGAAAATCACATTGGATTTAGGAAAAAAAGATCAACATTGGATAACTTAATATCATTGAAATCAGAAATTCACGAATCATTTATATGCAATCAATGCAGCTCTTAAGTCAAGAGAATCGTAGTCTAATAATATTTGGCTCCAATTTTTTCACCGCAAAAACCAAAACTCATAAATCTTCACGAAAATCAAATCCACAAAAGCTCCCAAATCTATTTTTATAACTCCTATAGAATATGCGAAAGAAATAAAATTTCTAGGAATGCAACTGAACTCAAAATTAAGCTGGACAAGTCATATACACTGGCTAAGACTATCGTGCCAAGCTGGCCTAAATATTATAAAATCTGTATCACACAAAAATTGGGGAGCAGATTTTTTAACTCTAGTAAATGTTTATAGAACTTTAATTAGATCAAAACTGGACTCCGGATGTGTTGTGTATAACTTCGCAAACCAAGCATCGCTTAAAACTTTGAATACTCTACAGAGTTTAATTGCCAGACCTGCTCTTGGAGCATGTTGCACCAGTGCTGTGGACAATCTACTCTGTGAAGCTGGAGAGCAATTCTTAAATCTAAAAAAAAAATACTTAACTCTATCGTATATCACGAATATAAACTTACTTTCTTTGGAAATAAGTATTAAAATATACTGATATTAAATAGAAATGGTCTAATCTATGATCGAAATATCATGAGAAATGCTAGAGTCAAAGGTGAAGAGTCCATTAATTACAAAGGTAGAGTTGTACCAGGATCACTGTTGGCCCTGATTGCAGGTAAGATACGTTTTGCAGTGTATATAATAAACTAAGGTTTATTTCATCGAGATTTTTTTTATTTCAGATATAAGCAGAGTGTACAGACCGCTTGCAGAATTAAGCTGAAGAGATATTCGTTAATTTAAGAACATTGGAATCTAAGAACGAGCAGGATATTTTTTTTCAATCATTGATTAGGTACCTGTAACAATGTATAAACCCATAGACTCAGAAAAGAAGATACTTCTGCGGGGGCTGCTCATAATGTTTATTTTACATACGAGGTAATTGTGGGTGAAACCAGAGAAAAGGTATGTATAGAAGCATTTAAATTACTCTATGGAATTAAAATAAGTCGTATTAGAAAGCTTAGTTCATTATTAATAATGACTAAAACCCCGAAGGATCTTCGTGGGAAAAAATTGGGCAGTAATGCAATCAGTGCTCATACCAGGCTATTAATAAGACAACTTCAATTTACGATTTGGTTGCCCCCAGATTGATTTATGCTGTATTTGTAAAAAACTAAATTTCAAATTGAGAAGTTTTCATCTTAGTGATGTAGCAAAAAGAAATATTTCTGCTGATTTGATAATTCACAAGCATAGAGCAAAAAATTCTACAATAAATTAAAAAGAGAAACTAACTAAGAAACAATAGCAAAATAATCACATGTGCTAGGAATAGCTTTCGATTATATGCAAAATATACCGCTGCCCATGATTCCAGTACAGGAAACCTTTAATTTGAGACAACTAACGGTGAATGTGTTTTGCATTCATGGCGTTAAAAGCAATAAGTCTAATATTTATCTATATCACGAAGGGACTGCCAGAAAAAGTCCGGATGGGGTGTGTTCCTTTGTATATAATTATTTACCCTCTGCTCCTCCTCAGTTTACGGAAGTCCACACTTACTCGGATAATTGCGGAGGTCAAAATAAGAACCATAGAGTGTTTTTAGCCCTTACCGACAGTGGTAGATTCTATCGAATTAAGCAATATTATTCCATTAGATTATATTCCATTAGGGCAGGTCATGTAGCAAGATCAGTTGATGACCGGTGGACAAAAAGAATTTTGGAATGGAGACCCCGAATACAAGCATACAGAAATAGAGGTCGACCCCCAACGAGATGGACAGATGACATAAAAAGAGTGAGTACAAATTGGATTCAGATGGCGCAAAATCGGACTAAGTGGAAGAGCATGCGAGAGGCTTATGTTCAGCAGTGGACGTTAGAGGCTAGTTGATTGATGATGATTCCATTAGATGACACTCCTACCTTCCTTGTGGCAGTGATTTTTCAATCATCAAAAGAAAACTAAAAAGACATGATAGGGTATACACCTTACACGAGATAACCGAACTTATTATTACTTCGAGTAATACGATAGATAAGTTTACAGTCAAAGAAGTTAGCACAGAAGGTATACTAGATTTTTAAAATTGGTGGCCAACCTACTATAAAAAGAAGTGCATTTATGAGGAAACAAGAGGAAAACTTATTCCTGTTAAGGATAGGATATCTTTTGGATAAGTTCTTTTATGCACTTTACGTATGGAACAGCTAAAAGTGTGATTGTATGTCTTTTATTGATGGGTTCATGGAACAAACCTATAAACTTTCTCAAGTTAACAATCAATCAAATGAATTTTCCACATTACTTTTTTATCCTTTCAGTAAAGTACCACCAAAAGTTGTTACATTTTATACCTAATTGTGTCAGGCAGTTTTATGACGAATTAATGGAGTAGACAACAACTGATAGTCCCAATACTGGGGAAGATGAATATGACATCCAGTAGGAGAAAACATGACATTTTGAAGCATTCAAATAATTACTGAATGCTTGTATTTAAAACTTTTACTTAAAAATTGTATTTTTTAGGTTAAATATACATTACTTCAAAATGAAGGTTTTTGTGTCATCTTAGGAATGTAAACAAAAAAGTTCTAAGTCGACCACATTTGAACATATATATCACATATGTACACCTATTATTTTGCACTAAGAAATATAAAATATTACATCAAAAAGTGTCAAAAACATTCTCAAGTTTTTTGGTATTAATTTTGATGACTAATACAGATCTATACAGTTTTATTCAGTTTCCCGAAAAAATGCTTTTCATGACTTAGAACATTTTTGTTGACACCAATTCATATTATATTTGTTATTACAAGATGTATACTTTACCTCCAACTAATTTACTTACCAGTTGTACCTTCGGTGGGAAATGCAGTAGGAGCTCCTAAAATTAGTTAACAAAATTATTCAAAATATGTTGTATTTAAGGAAATTATTATATTATATCACTAGTGGTGATAGCGAAGTGAACAGTGACAAGTGTAATAGTGTCTGGGGGCTCGGAAGACTGAGACCTAGGAAGCCCTGAGGAAGCCCAGAGGAAGACATCAGAGAGGATGTCGAAAGCTCGGCCCAATAGATATCGATGGTTCAACCCCGAAGACTGGTGAGTTTAATATTAATTTTCGTAATAGTATTAATCTTAGCTCTAGGTTTCATTGTACAACAGTCTTCTGAGTTGAACCTCGTCGATTATCATTGCGTCAAGCTTTCGACATCCTTTTCGATCTCTTCTTCAGGGCTTCCGAGGTCTCACTCTGCCGAGCCTCCAGACCCTAGTCAGTTACCGAATACTATGCTCCAGTGTTGCTGAACAGTAGCCTTATAACAAAGATCGACACCAAACTAATTTATAGCATGAGCATTATCAACGTATGTATTAAAAGTACCCTCACTCCATGGCTCCCTATTTTAAGTTATATTACACCTCCAGACATCTGTAGATAAGCCAGTCTCACAAGGGAATATAAAAACAGTATTGCTGTTGTATCTGTTAAGTGGAAAACGGGAGTTTTGAGTTCTTTCAGTTAGTTGTTGTTAATATTATTTGGACTTTCCGTGGTTTTAGTAAAGAACACAAGACCGTACATAAAACTATTTAATACTTATATGTGACTTTAATATAGAAAAGAAAACATAATTGTTTGTAACAATGCAACTAAAAAATATTACAAATATATCAATATTATAATAATATATTAAATAATGTTACTTCGATGAATTAAAACAGAATGATGCCGAATGAGGGTTGCTAGGTAGCCTCCAAAGGTAGGTACTTTCCAAAATATATCGTAACGGGAATTTCTAATCTTCCTTGGCGACAAGTCATTGCTAAGCTAAGCTATGCTTGCGCCGTTTCAAAGACGACAGAGCCGTCGTCAGGGCATTTAAAGTTTTAACAATTGCAAACCTGCAGCTAGCGATATATGTCAAAAATAGATAGATAGATAGAAAGATAGATAGATAGATAGATGTTAAATGTATCGAAATTTAGTGGCTTAAATTTAGATCGCCACTCCTTATGCCATGAGGAAGATTTAAGCGTTCACGCAAAATGAAAGGAATGCTGGGAACTGGTAGCCCTACCACAGATAGCAATAAGCCTCAATGAGCGCCGAGCAAGTTGAACCTTCTGTGAGTAGGTAAGACCCTAAACCGTACTAGAATATCTAATGAGCTGTCCCTGCGCCTTACTATTTAAATGGGGACTAAGGGGATACAATCATGCGACTGCAAAGAACATCGCCAAACCACTAAACACATTGTGTTAATATGTTCCCTGACGGCATAGTCTAGTACCATGATTGACTTTTTCCATGCCAATTAAAATTTGTATTTGGAAGCCTTTAGTCACTGAAGTATTTATTATGAGTTATCAAATCTTCTGTCAGCAAGTTGCTTGCTCCTTCTGTTGCGCCTTTGAGGAGCTAGTGAAAGTCATCAACATATTTATATTTCTTTGCCAACATTGAAGGGATATCATATGTATACAGATTGAAGAGAACTGGGGCCAGCAACGGCCCTTAAGAAAGCATATTTTGCAGTTTCCTTATCCTGTTCTTTCTGCTTCTAGTTTTAATTTAAAAAGACCTATCGCACAGCATATTGTTTAGTAGAGTAGCAACTCGGATAAACCTGACCCCAAATTTTTGAGTAATGTTTGGACATCACAGAAGATGAACACTCAATCTGTTTATGGTACTAAAATACTGATATATACAAGGAAAGATCTTGTTACCTATACTAAAAGAAGAAGTCGCTAGTATTTAAAAAACAATATAAATGTAGTAACAACTTATCGAGGACACATCATAGTTTAAAAATAACAAAACACATAGCTAATAGTAGGATATTTTATTCAATAAGTTAATATTATCTCCTTACCTGTTACTTCCGTGGAAACTAGTAGTTGAGCTAAAAAAATAAACATAGTTTTATTAATCTATATTTAATTTTTAAAAGTAAAGATACAATTTAGGTTTAAAATAAATACATAAATTCAATTTATTTACTCCAGCTAAAATATTTTCTTAGTTGCATTACCCCAAGACTCTACATTTCTTCCTCTTCTTTTATTATTTGCTCATCTCACTTTCCATATTCTCTAAGTAGGTATTTTGATGATGATGTTATTTAATGCACTAATTGGATTTATTATAAGGTGTTGCTTCTAGATAACACATCTAGCCTCTCTTACTTAATTCCTATCCTCATCTTTGAGAAATGTGATCCGGACCACACAAGTAAACCCCGGTAAACCTGATCAACCCTACTGGAGACTAGTGAACCAACTCCAGTGGAGGGTGGGGTCAGGGCTGAGGAGGAAGGGAGAAATAGTCCTTCAAAAAGGGGATTGCGCATAAGGCCATTCCCCTTATTCCATAAAAACCTATTGTTTTTCCATAAAAAACAGCAAAGAAGCTGTTGCAAGATCAACTCCTAAAATATAGAATAGACATTGCAGCCATTCAAGAGATGAGATCGACAAGAACCGGCAATATGTAGAAAAAAGAACATGATATATATTACAGTTGCAACCCGAACTAACATGAGTTCGGAACCACGTTCATAGTATCAAAGAAAATCAAAAATTTTATTATTGGTTTTAAAACCATAAATGATCGGTTATGCATCCTTTGAATAAAAGAAGTTTTTTTTAACATATTCGTGATCAACGTGCATGCGCCAATCGAAGACAACGACGAAGAAATTAAAGATCTATTCTACGAAGACCTTGAGAGAGCATATGATAACTGTGTCAAAAACGGTATTAAAATAATCTATGGAGACATGAACGCCCAGATAAAAAAAGAGATATGCTACAAAGATTATATTGGTAAACAGAGCCTTCACGACGTTAATAATGACAATGGTTTAAGGCTTATTAGTATAGCAGCTTCCAAAGGTTTAATTGTGGGAAGAACATGTTTTGATCATAAGAATAATTATAAAGCAAGTTAAATATCACCAAATGGACATACCACAAATCAAATTGACTATGCTATAATTGACAGAAGGCACTTTACAAACCTAATGGACGTCAGGAGTTACAGAGGCGCAAATATTGACTCAGAGCATTTTATGGTAGGTGCCAAGTTACGAAAAAGAATTTTCAATGCCAAGAAAGAAAGGGACAATAGACAAGTAAAATATAATTTACATATACCAAAAAATAAAAACAAAGAGAAACAGTTCCAGTCGCATATAAAAAACACCTTGGAACACACCTGGGCAGTCGATCAGTCAAGTACGGAAATGTGGAACAACTGCAAGAAGGCTCTGAAATTAGCAGCCGAAAGCACATTGGGAATATCTTGAACCCAAGAAAGAAACCACTGGTTCGACCAAGACTGCAAAAAAATAACAGATGAGAAGAACGAGGCATTTAGGACCATGCAACAATGAAAACTAGGACAACAATAGATAACAAAAACTTAAGGACAAAGGAAAAACGCATACACCGAAAAAAGAAACGAGACTCAAAAAAATACATATTAGAACGGTTCGAAAGACATATAAGTCACGGAGAAACAAGAAAGTTGTCATCAAATAAATATTATAAGAAAACAATTAAAACCGAGAACCAACTATTTTAATGATAAGAGGTAACTTACTTACCAACAAAGAGGATATCCTGTTACGATGGGTAAAGCACTTTCAAGAGTTGCTGTAAGGGGAACCTACTAAAATTATAGAGCTGAAATACCGAAATGAAAAACTCGTGGAACCGCCCTTCGTAGATGAAGTGAAAATATCTATAGAAAAACTAAGGAACCACAAATCCCCAGGCAGCGATGGCATCCCAGCAGAGTTATTTAAGCACGGTAGAGAGCAGCTCACCAATGATGCGAGAAATTGTTTGTAAAATTTAGTTTGAGAAGCAAATTTCTTAAAAATAGAGCTTACGCTTAATTTGCCCGTTACACAAAAAGGGAAACCAACTGAACTGCAATATTTACCGCGAAATAACTCTCCTAAATAGACAGGATTTAGGGGTAGACGTTTAACCATTAACCAGATCTTTCCACTACAACAGATCCTCGAAAAAGCGCAAGAGTTACACATAGATATGTATCATATTTTTGTCGATTTTAAAGAGGCATATAACAGTATCTTAAGACCAAGTCTTTACAACGCTATGAATGAGTTAGGAATTCCAAAAAAAAACTTATAGGTTTGATAAAAGTGACAATAGCAAAGATGCTATCAGCAGTAAAAACCAAATTTATAGCGACTAACACAAACACAGAAGCTAAAAATGTTGACGCAGATCTAATCATCAATGACCAAAACTTCGAAGCAGTCAAAGAGTTAATATATCTAGGGCCATCGGTTAACCCCAATAATAACATATCGGACGAAATAAAAAGGCGAATAATATTTGCAAACAGGTGTTATCATGGTCTATTAAAGTACTTAGCTAGCAAACGTCAGTCCCAAAAAACTCGTATAAGGCTGTATTGAACACTCATAGTCCCCGTTCTCACATATGGATGAGAGGCATGGACGCTGACTAAAACAGATGAATCCGCTGTATCGATTTTTGAAAGAATGGTGGTATGCAAGATATTCGAATCGGTCTGTGAGAACAGAATATAGAAGCGTAAATATAACTTTGAACTGCAGAATATTTACAGACATACGTTTGGTGGTAAGAGCAAAATGGAGTAGAAAGCTTGAGAAGCTCGAGGCCCTCTAAGGGATGTAGCACCAAGTTGAGTTTCTCTCTTTATAAACGCTTTTTTATACGTTTATGGGTACATTTATACCCAAATATATGTAACTAGATAAAAATTACTACATTTTAGCTCTAGACACTATGTAAAAAACTTTTTTCTTATCGACAAGTTCCTCTTTTTTAAATATATTTCCACTTATAGTTTTTTCTATTTTTTCTATAATCTAATGTCTTTAAACATAATTTTTTATAGTAAATATATCATTTAATGTTGTTGATTCTCAATCATTTTTAAGTTATTACTCTTAAATTTTTCACTCACTTCTGTTCTTACAAATATTATTATGAATGTATTTTTATATAATTTCAACAGTAATATATTACAATTTAAGTCTTTCTATCGCTGTGAGTGTTTTATGCAAAAATGAATTAAATATGAACATGGCTGAATATTTTTTATCAAATCAAATTGACTCAATGGTTACATGAGTTAAGTAATTGTGATATAAAAACGTAGATATACCTAAATTAGTATTATTTAATATTAAATCAAAAAGTTAAGAGCAAATTATCCTGACGGGCTGTTGTTAGGCAAAGTCGAGAAATAATTGCTAATGTGATAGCCTTAGATTGTATCACTGTGAAATTCATACTTGTCAGGTAGTTAATAGTTAAATGTAAATGATCTGGTATTATTTTAATATTTTAGTGACAATTACATTTTTTAGCTAAATGATCAATTGGCAAAAATGTTATTTCAAACGTGCGAATAGTTTTTGTAATCTCAGTGTTTAACTTAACTTTGATATACGATATAATTATTTAGTATCGACTCTTGCCGATATCGATTTACGATTTTGTAGATTGCGTAGTATTTAATGATCTTATTATTAAATCCATATTAATTTCTAAAAAAAAAGACATGGAAAAATGTAATATATGCATTCTGTTGTCTTTAGAATACTGTAAAATTAACAGTGGAGGACATTTTTCACACTTAATTTAGCAATGGAAAACTTTTAATTATGTTTAAATTTAGTTTTGCATACTTTGAACTAAAACAAATTATATTAAATTAATTAGGGGTTTGTATGCTTCTTCTTTATATTTTTAAGATGTTCCTGAATATATACAATTGAATATTGTATTGTATATGGTTGAGCTGGTATTGAAGTGGAGATTTTAATAAGGGTACAATATATAGGGTGCTGTATTTAAAAAACCAAGCCGACTTTTTATATCAGGCAAATGATAAATCTCGGAACGTTACAAACATTAAATTTTCAATTTTCATATTGCACAATAGGTGTATCCCTATTTTTGTATAATTCAAACCATTTATTAACGAGAAAATTATAGGTTTCAAGACTATTGGTTCTCTTTGTAAATTGATTCGATACAGTATAGAGGGTTATTTAAACACAATGCATTTTAGCTGGATTTCTGGCCTTAAACAGATGCATACAATCTGTGTATTGTGGTTCAAAAACAATAGATATTTAGATCAAAGCAAATATCTGTACTTTTCAAATACATAAGCTAATTAATCACACAATAAAAGCTATATTAGCTGTTCGTTTATGATAAAGAAATTAAACAGAGAAATCTCGATATATATATATATATATATATATATATATATATATATATATATATATATATATAATAACAATGTTAATTATTAGCTTATAATTAAGATGTTTTTCAAATGAGTTAAAGGCAGGAATCAGTAATGAAAGAACAGATCACGAGTTAATAGAACAAGTAGTAAGTCTAAAGGATGAACTGAAAAACTATCTCTATGTATCCGATGATGAAGTATGTAATTATAATGACGAAGATAGTAGAAATACCGACAATGTAAATAAGAAGCCAACTAAGAAAAGGAAGTTACAAAATAAATACATTATTAAACAAGCCGGTAAAAAACGAATCCGACATTCGGGCAAATGGCTGTGTAACCTATGAAAACAAAACTCAATGCCCGGAAAGGAATATGTTAATAAAAGCGGTAGTAAAGTACGTCAAGCCAAATCTATGAAACCACCTTGTTTATGTAAGAAGAAGTATTATTATAAATTATTACAAAATAATGACAAGAAATTTTTGATACACATTTTTGATACAAGAATATAGGAAACCTAATCAAAATCCTCTTTTTTACAGTTTTATTATGAATAACAAGAATGTTAGCGTTTGTAAAGTTGTGTTTTTAAATACTTAAGGAGCTTCAAATAAAACGGTCGTAAACGTTTTACGAAAGACAGAACAAGGAGGTCTGATACAACCAGATCTAAGAGGAAAGCACCCTCCTAGCAATAAAACATCTGAAATTATTGAAAATGGTAAGAATCATATTTCATGAATCCCTACCTATAAGAGCCATTATACCAGAGAGAAAACCGTCAAAAAATATTTAGGATCAGAAGTAAATATTAAGAATATGTACAGCCTTTATACAACCTATTGTTCTGAAAATAATGTTGATTCAAAATTGGTTGCTAAACAGTCCGTGTATTGTGACGTGTTTAACAAACAATTTAATAACATTTTTGATTAATTTAATGCTAGGCTCACGAATAAACTAAATCTAGAGCAAAGAAATGATGTAAAAGTTATTAACGAGCATCTTGTAGAGTCAAAGAAGATATATGATTTAAAAAATCGATATATTAAATTTTCCATGGATAAACCGAGATATAAAGTTTTGATTTGTGATCTACAGAAGTGCTTACCTATACCTTTGATTACAAACAGCATCAGTTTTTATAAGAGAAAATTATGAACATTTCATTTTACGATTTATGATTCCTTGGACTTTGGAAAAGCAGAGCGTGGCAGAAAATAAATGGCTTTTGTTTATTAAAATAAGCAAATAGTGTAATACCTGATTTTACTATTCAACAAATAACGATATGTAGGGATAACTGTTATGTTTAAAATAAAAATATGTTTATTGTAATGAAAAATTTCTAGATTTTAAAGACCTGCCCACATATTCAGCAAATAGATCACAAGGTTTTGTTAAAGAGCCATACTCATATTAAAGCAGACAGTGTTCATGGTCACACTTAAAAGGAAAAGGAAAGGAGTACCAAACATGACAATCCTGACTCCTTGAGATTGGGAACAACTTGTATGCCAAACATATACTAAATACACTGTACACAATATGGAATGTGAGGACTTCAAGCAATTTAACCTATTCTCTGTTGGAAAAGAAGCTCCTTTTGTCTTAAGAAAACTTGGCACTGAAAAACAACGTGTATTAATGTCTGCCTGTGTTCATCTTCTGCTAAGTTCGTCGAGAGGCTATAATAGGAAAGCTATTTTTTTTTAACATTTTTTGATGATAATAATTTCAAAGAACTTGATATGATATTACTTCAAAGAAGTGAACAAATTGAAAATGTTGAAAAAATGACCAAAAGTTCTAGTGCCTATCACTAATGACTTATTACCGATTTCTTGCCAAAAGTTCGATAACTTAATGTCACTGCTGCCATATTTACCATCTGTATGTCATCATTTTTATAAAAATTTACATACATCTAACAACGCTAGTGATTACCTAGAAGATAATAAAGAGGAAGTTTTTGATACATAAGGGATATATATTGTGTTTATTTTAGTATTCTAGCAATATCCCTGTCGTTAAATGCAAACAAATATTAAGTTTTACCCTGTAATGTTTCTCAAGTTTAACATTGTATAATACACTATTAGTAAACATCTAGTACCATGACCCAAAAGATCTTGACGAGATAAACAGCATATTGTGTACTAACATACATCATGTGAATAAAGAAACACAAAAATAAACTTAAAGCGCTTCTCCTGTAAAATTACAATTTTGTGACATAGTGCCCTTTACCTCTGGCATACAGATTTAGATTCCGTTCTTTAATGTTTACTAAGGTGATATAATAAATACTTAGCATACAAAAGAAAAACAAAAATTCTGAATAATTGGCGATCCATTTTTCAACATAATCTACAGTTTTGAAACAAAAAGAAGTCACATGAGGTTAAATCTCGAGAATGTGATGGATGGGTCAACAGTTCGTAGTAAAATTGGACCTATTGCGCTATGGCGATGGTACGCGCGAACGTATGAGCGGGTCCGTTGTTACGGTGGCAGAGCACTTTTTTCTTCGCTAAATGGGGTCATCTTTCAACTGCTATTTGGTCTCTAGTGTGTACCAGTGGATTTATGTTTTGTCAACGATTACAAATCGACGTAGAAACTTCTCCAGATTACGCTTAAATAGCATCAAACACTTCTGACAGTTAAGCTTGTTGTCTGAAATAAGGAGTGAGCTTACCGCAGCATTCATCGCGTCAACATCTTTCTCATGCCTAAAATTTCACGCAGGATATGACATACTTGACCTTTTGAGATAGCTATTTCATGATACTTCAGTCGGTGGTCTGCCAATATGAGATCGTGAACTTCTGTCAGGTTTTCCTTTGTGGTAGCCTATTTCGGGACACCTGGGTGTGCCACATCAAAAACCAACGTGCGACTACGTTGAAACTCGTTAAATTAATTTATGAGGGATGCCATAAAAGGAGAAGAGTCATTGGACACAATATACAAGCGCTATTTGATTTTGTTACTCAAATTTTCTTTCTGAAAGAAGAATCGGATCACCGACCGATATTGCTCTTTTTCAATTTTTCTAAAACTACGACTCCGATTCGGACGAAATTTTGACATTTGCCGTCTACAGGAGTGTACTACCGGATAGAAGTGGCATTTGTTCTTATCAGACCGCCTACGTAGTAATCATATGACTACAATAATTTATCCGAATATACATAGGTAACGTTTTAAAATTTATTGAGAAAAGTTTCATTTATTTTGGAAAATACGTTGTCGAAATTTATCAATAGCACGTAAAGGTTCTTGTAGTGACAATTTTAAAATAAGAAATATTTTAGTTGCACATAATAACAAATTGTTTAGTCATGGAATATATATAAAGTATAAAACTTACAACAATCAGATTCTTCATCGCATCCTGGAATGTGTACGTTCCACAGAAGACCCTCGTTACAGAATTCGTGCTGCTTAATTCCATTAAGGCATTGATAGTATCCTTGACAATTATAAGGATCGGCGAAATATTCAAGGTCTTTGTCACAATGTAAATCGGGATCGATAGTTGATTGATCGGGGATAACAGTTGAAGGTTGGGGGGCTAAAATGTAAAAACATATTTTAAATTTCATTTTTTTGGTTTAAACTTAGAATGAATAAGTGCTTTGTGAATCAATGGAAGAAAGGTATTTTACTAGAACTGGTCCGAACATAAAATTTTTATTAAAACAAATTAAAAATTATTATCTTTGATTAAAGTCATGATTTTTGAAATTGTTAAAATTCGTTCTCATTTGTATCAACACTCTTTAATGTTACTTTAGTACCTTTGGTGTGTAAGAAAGGCTACAACTTCTTTGGTCTTCTTTTCTTTGGCTACTTAACTCTAGATTAGTATATATTGACATAATTCTGATTATTCTTTTCCTTTCATTTTGTTTTTTGTGGAGGGCAAATCAGAGATAAATGTGAAGAACACCAGGATGAAACACAATTTAGCTTCAGAAATGCACTGGCAACTCGGGACGTCCTCTTTGCACTAAATGTATTACTGCAGAAATATCAAGATCAACGAAAAGACGTCTTTGCTGTATTTATTGACTATAAAAAGGCCTTTGATCGAAAACAGCATCACAAATTAATTACAATATTAAAAGATAAAGGAGTTGATAGTCAAGACATACGATTCATAGAAAAGTTAAACTGGCGTCAAACAGCGACAGCTTGCATAAACGGAAAATCAACAGAAATATGTAAAATACAAAGAGGTGTCAGACAGGGTTTTATACTATCCCCACTGTTATTTAATTTATATTCAGATAGAATATTATTTAAAGAAGCGCTGCATAATTTGGAATGGGGCGTGAAAGTTCATGAAATTCTGATAAATACAATCAGATATGCAGGCGATACAGTTATTTTAAGTGATGATATGAATGGATTACAATGCCTTTTAAATGTCATTGATACAGTGGGAAGAGAGTTTGGCCTAAACATAAACTGTTCAAAAACAAAATACATGGTGTTTAGCCGTTTAACACATCAAAATGCACGATTATATGTTGATGGTCATATAATTCAAAGAGTGTATAGTTTTAATTATCTTGGTTGCCATATTACTGAACAACTAGATCCAGATCAAGAGATAAAATGTAGAATCGAGATGCTACATTTGATTAGTCCTCTTATACAGTATCGAAGCATGGACATAAAAAATATCCACCATTAATCATCTGGAGGCCTTTGAAATGAGGCTGCACAGACGTATACTAAAAATTTTATGGACGGCTATCCTGAGGTGGCAGTCCCTGAGAGAGCAAATGCTGCTCGCGAGCTGCTTGATAACATCAAATGTAGAAAGATGGCCTATTTTGGACACGAAGTAAGGGGAGACTGATATAATATTCTTCATTTTATTATGATGGGTAAAATCGAAGGACGCAGAGGAATTGGTAGAAAGCAGGCCTCTTGGATGAAGAATATCAGGGAGTGGACAGGAATAAAGAAAGCTGAGCAACTTTTTAGAATAGCTCGAGACAGAGACAGTTTCGCCATGTTAATCGCCAACGTCAAGGGGACTTGATAGGGCAGATTAAGAAGAAGGAGGGCAAATATGTATTTGTTTTTCTTTTAGCACCTTAGATATTTCTTGGTCCCCTGAGTTAAGCGTTATTCTGATATTCCATGTAGTTTTTCTATGCGGAAGTTTTTCAGATTATTTTTCACATTTTCATCAAATTATTCAATAAGATCACCTTGTAAGAATTCTACAACGTTCTAGAGGTTTTAAGGGTAGACGCGATTGAGACAATCTTCGAACTATGATTTGTATACATCATCTTGTGTACCTAGGTAATTGATGTTCGCTTCTTATTTAACTGGTATTCATTACCCATCGAGCGCTGTTCTGATAGACGAAAATTTAGAGTTTACCTGCTCGTATTTTGCGTGATGTATCTTGGTCTATTGTAAAGTGTTCGGCAGGTATGACTGTTTTCTGACTATCTGAAATAAGTTTTCTGACAAAGGTTAAAGTGTAAACTACATCTGATGCGGCCATATTATTTAAAGTAAAAACTATTTTCACTAGAGTTCTAGTAATTCCAATTAATACGCTCATTATTTGGTTCAGATGGCCGTCAGCATTGTTGACGTGTGTACTATGTATCCATATTGATGCACAGTAATCCGCAATTAACGATTAGCAACTGACCACAAAAATTACATTATGGTTTGGTTCGATTACTCGTTAAAGTCAGTTTGTATTTAAATTTAATTGAAAAATAATTTTAACAAATTTTGTGTAGTTAAATTTTGAGGACGTACGCTGTGGTAACAATAAAAATAATAATTTATTATTATTCAGTAGTACTGAATAATAAACCTATATAAAATTTTTAAGTTTACTTACTAGCGGGTGTTGGGTAAAATTTTAAAATATTTTGTTATATCACTTAAACGGTTTATGAACTTAGCAGCTGCGAAAATATAATATTTGTTTCCATCGTATCGGTACAGGTCCAAGCTTTTACAGTGTTTCGAATATAATACCTAAACGCCTCTTTCTGAATGTTTATGATGCCAACTTTATTCAACTAGTCACTGAAGAGTGACAACACCTATAGTGTCACAGATCAGCGACATTATTAATACTTTTAATATACAGTGGACTCCCGTACGTTCGGCCTCGGTTAGTTCAGTCTCCGCTTAGTCCGACCGGCTCTATACGTCACTCTGGCGATTGGTCACACACTTGGCAGCGAGCGCCAGGAAGATGCGAGCAGGTAAAGTGCTCATCTTTACGATAGAACTGCAGTCAGTGATTTTTGTTTCACTTGCGATTTTTACTGTGTATATAAACAGTATACTTGTTGTGTGTGTGGACCTTAACTCTTTCATGTCGTGCATTAAACTGCTTTAAAATGATTGAAACTCGTAAACGTAAGTCAATGGAACAGAGACTACAAGCTCTGGAAAGAATGGACAACCAGAAGAGGCAATCTTGACTAGTGATGGATGGCTTTCCTGATGGAAAAAGTGACAGGTGTCTATTTTATTAGAGTTTGTGGCGAGAAGCTATCAGCGGACCCAAAAGGAACCAAAAATTTTTCTTTAAAATTTTTATAAATCATTGGTAACCAAAACTTGAGTCCAGAGCAAATCTACAACATCGTCGAAACTGGGTTAAATTTTAGAATTCTGTCCAGGAAAATCTTTGCTACCCCACAAGAAAAATCTGCGACATCATTTAAAGTCAGCAAACAAAGGAAAACGGTCGCCTTGTGTTCACATGCCTCGGGGACCCGCAAGATTCCCCTATTTGTCATTGGCGCAGCAGCAAAATTGAAATCGTTTAAGAACATAAACATGGAGACTTTTTCAGTGTATTACCGGTTGCAGAAATCAGCATCGATTGGACGTATATTTGTTTAGAGAATGGTTTGTGTGCGAATTTGTTCTGAAAGTAAAAAACCATTTGACAAAATTAAATTTACCCATCAAAGCAGTTCTCCTAATTGACAACGCGCCTACTTACCAGGAAGGTATTTATTGTGACGATGAAAAAGAAATTAAACTGTTGTTCCTGCCACCCAATGTTACTAGTCTTTAACAGCTAATAAACCATAGGATAATTGAATGCTTCAAGAGAAAGTATCGTCGAAAACTGCTTTCTGAAGTTCTTTCCAAACTGGAGGCTGATGAAAACTTAGATCTTTTTAAAGTGCTAAAGTTAGTTAATATGAAGGATGTTGTGTACATGTCGGCCAAGGCATACGACGAAATACCACCGTCGACGTTTGTAAAATCTTGGAAAAAACTTTGGCCAAATATAGAAGATCAGACATATCAGCAGTTGAGCCAAACAGCATTCTTGTTAACGAACCTGATGACAATGCAGCTCTATTGCACGACCTTCAACAACTACCGGACTGTAGTCCCGTTGTTGAAGGAGATGTTTTGGAGTGGATTAACTTTTGAAAAGAGGCTACACAACGAGGTTTTGAACGACGACGAAATCGCCAAGTATGTCATTTGCGAAGAAAATGAGTAGAATAACGACACAGATGCTGCTGAGAATAAAGGGAAAGATGAAGAAAATAAAATGAGCCACTTCCGTCTGTGTGATGAATATTAAAAACTTCCGTCGATGTGATGAATATTAAAAAGTAGCGTGAGTTTGCACATCAAAAATCATTAGAAAAAAACATTAAGAAAAAAATTACTGAGTTTTTTTAAGTGTTTAAGAAGCCTAATTACCAATGTGAAACAAACAATATTTTTAAATTTTATTAGGCCTAGATTTCTGTAAGTATTGTTCTATATTATTTTTGTAACGGTCTGTGTTGTCTTCTACTTAATGTGCAAGTATAGATCTGTACCCCCTCCGCTACCGGAGGGGGTACAGATTGTACCCCAAATTCGATTTTTCAATAATAATTTTTATAAATGTTGGAATTTTGTTTAACTGTTCTAGTTAATTCTGCATTGGGATGTGTAAACGCATATCCAACCATTTGTTTTTAATTTGACATATTTTTAACTATGAAAAGTGCAGCACTGTGCTTGGGGTACAAGTTGTACCCCCTCCGTCAACCGCGATACAGGTCATTGCGAATATAATAACGATTATTGTTATTTATATTAAAAAATCACTTTTTCCTTTGTGGTAATTTTTGCTTCCAAATTGAAAACGAATAGAAATTGAATGAACTATTTTTTAATGTATTTTTATTAGTTTCTTATAAATTGGCGAAATTTAAATTTGCTATGTGCTAATAAAAATGCAAGATTTCACCGCAACACGTCGCCTCACGATCGTTTCTAGTATCCCCTTTAAGTACTTGCACACAGCGAATACATACACGACAAATTATCTCAACACCCACTTAACAAAAAACAAAAAGAACTACTATAATGTACTTTCATATATGGTAGAAAAAAATATGGGTTCTACAAAGTATTATGATTTTATGATTCGACAACCTACAATAGGATAGACTATAAAAATATATGACTTGAAATTTATTTTCACCAAATGTTTAAGATTCATATACCTATATTTTGGTTTCAGATGCTGTTTTAATGAAATAGGTAAGTAAATTTTTGTTTATTTACACATAGTAATTACTTTCTTACCGGCAGAAGTTGATTCAGGTTCAGGGATAATGTGAGCTGAAAATAAAATAGAAAAGAGTATAATAAGGATTAGTTTAAAAATATTTATACCTTATGTATTTTAATATTATGGATGTTAACAAACAGCAGCACTTACAACAATCAACGGTATCTTTTTGGTCGCATTTATTAAGCTCTTGATTCCACATGAAATCCCCTGGGCATGATAGAAGGTAACGTTTGTAATCAAGACATTCGTAGAATTTTTTACAATCGTAGGGGTATGGGTAAAATGTATTTTTTCCATCTGTGCAGTCAGGATCTGTAATATATAAATATATAATATATATATATATATATAATATATATATATATATATAATATATATATATATATAATATATATATATATATATATATATATATATATATATGTTTACTAATATTACTTTTAACTTTTCGAACCACTTTTTTTAAGGGGGAAGGGGGCAAGGATTTTTACTATTGAATTATTCCAGTTAAGTCAGTTAAGTACTTGTTGGTTAATATTATGAGGAGTTCATAACCATCATAATATCTGACCGCAACAGATTGCGGTCAGGAACTGATGTGAGAGGTGATCCAGTCAGAGAGTCATGTGCAGTTCTGAGAGGAAGTAGGTCTGAGCGGTCATTAAACATAAGAAAAAGTGGTCTGAAATTGAGAATTGCTTCAATTTGACTGGTTTAAGAGGTTATTTTACGGATTTTACCCCTGCTTCCCAGACACCACTAAAGTGAGGTAAACGCAGCGGAATAAATTTCCAATCGATACCCTCAGAAGAGAGTGTGTTATGTAGGTCAACATGATTAGTCTTAAGGAAGTTGGAAAGTTTATTGATGGAAACTTTATAAAGGTGCTTCCATTATCAAAAAGCATAGAAGCGCATTTCCCCCGTCGAGAAGTAAAACGTCTTAAAGCTGCTATAAAGCATTCTGTAGTGAGACTGCTCACAATTTCCAAGTATGTAGCGATTGTGGCTAGACAAATAAAAAGTGCTACAGAACCCTTACTAATCTTGTAGTTTCTCGTAAGACGGCCCTTTAAATAAAAGGGTCCCACATAATTAAGTTGCGAATGGGTAAAGGGTCGTGAAGGAGTAAGACGTGAAGAAGGTAGGTTACCCATTAATAAAATTTTGAGTTTTGGAGCTGGCTTAAAACATGTCATGCAGTTTCTAACAACCTTTCTAACGACATAGCGTCCATTTAGAGGCCAATATTTCTCTCACAGTCGAATTACACTCGAATCATATTAACTTGATCAATAAAAGGATACAGAGTGAGAAGCTTGCTTTTATGATCGACCTTGTCATGTTTTTTGAGATGTGTGAGATCATCAGAATGAGATCATCATTTATTTTGCACAATGCGAATAAGAAAAATCAAAGAACAGGTAATTTTCTTTTATGTTAAATTGTTAAAGGTTTTTTCTGGCTTATTTTGTCTAGAATATTTGCAAAAACGTAATAAATGGGATACAATTCGTTTTGATTTAGTAAAGGAAGAAAATTTGTAGGATTTGTACAATAAAAGCCATGGAGGGCCATAAAACCATTGATCGGAATTTTGTAGTGCCATGGGTGAAATACCACGTGACAATAAATCTGCAGTATTTTCTTGTGTTTATATATCTCCAGGAATTATAATTAGTCAAAGATTATATTTGTAAAATCCTGTTTGCAAAGAAAGGTTTTGACAAATTGGAAGGTGTATTGATCTATGTCAGAATAATGCTGGAATCACACCAATAAACAATTTCGTCAAAATTAATTTGTAGTGATTGCTTTACTTTGTCCATCAATGCAGATAAGAGTAAGGCTCCAGAAAGTTTAAGTCGGAGAACTGTAAAACTGTGCTCCAAAGAGCTACTCTGGTTTTCGCACATTGTAGATGACAAGTTGTATTTACCTGAGCATCTAAGGAACGAAAAAAATATAAGCACCAATATGATGCAGTAGACGCATCGAAAAATTATTGTTATTGTGTGGATGTAAAATTGGAAACAGTAATATGTCTAGAAAATTGTAATTTATTAAAATTGAATAACATTGAATTGATAATTTGACCATTTTGTATGTCTATAGCTTGGTACAACTTTATCTCAGGAAATTATTCTGACGCCATGAGTCTTGTAGAATGATCCTAACGGTTATTGTAACTGCTGCTAGGAGACCAAGAGGATCAAATATCCTTGAAATTACAGAAAGAATGTGTCCCTTAGTAATCTTAGAATTTTTGGCAGTAGGTTGAACATTAAAGAAGAAAATGTCTAATTTGGGTTTCCAAAAGAGACCCAAAGTTTTGACAGTTTCAATTAAATCTATGTCCAAAGGAGTGTTATCTATATCCTCGATTTTTAATTCGGTTTAATTTGATGTCCATTTACTTAAATGAAAGCCATGTTTTAAAAGTAGTTCAGTGATTAAAGATTGAATATGTTTAAGAAAATATCAGGAGATTTGTCAGCGTAAATATGATTTACTTCTTGCAGACATCGCGTTGCTAAAAAGCTGGCAGAAGCAGTGCCATAAGTTACAGTATTTAAAGTATTAGTCCCAATACATGAATTTGGATCAGATCGCAAAAATATTTTTTGTAAACAACGCTGAGTTTATTTTATAAGAATTTTGTCAATACATTTTAACGATATCAGCAGTTAAAGCAAATTTGTGTTTTCGAAAACGTAAAATGATAGTAAAAAGATCGTCTTCTAGTGTAGAACCTACCAGATCGTCTTTTAGAGTCTATCGTTCAAAGAAAAGCCAGTATCAGTTTTAGCAGATCCGTCAAATACGACACGGATCTTGTTACCTTTTAAACGCAATGATGAGGAAGAAAGAAGTCTGGATGAGATACTGAATTAAAAAGTTAAGTCATATGATACACAGATGAGTATTTACTGATGAATTAAATGTAATCTGTTTTTTAAAGTTGGGTTTAAGTTTAATTTCTATTTCAACGAGAAAAAACGTTTGGTAGCTGAAATCTCAGAGTTGTCAAGATTTGTCAGAGGTAACTCTAAAAAGTAAAGGAAGAGAGGCAATGAATCTGCCTGCAGAATCAAAGGAACTAGTTTCTTAAAGTGTTTCTTACATTAAAGTTCTTTAAAAAAGAACTTGGTTTTTGTAAATTATTAAAGTTCCCAGAATTTTTGTAATATTTCCTTAAATCTAAATTTTCTCCACATCCAAAAAATGTAAAGGCTTACTTTAAAGCCTAAAATGTATGTTTGGTTATCTATTTTAATAATCCCTCGAGTTTTAGTATTGCCGAATAATCAAACAGATGAGAGAAATCATTAACAAACAGATGTGTTAGCTTACTGATGAAGCGACAATCTGAACTTTAGGCGTTAAAAAATAGATATAGGCTCGGCAAAAAAATTCAATAATTAGAAATTGTTTTATACATAAAGAGGAACCTTCACCTAAATTTTAATTTAATTTGAGATTGTCAAGAAAAATTACTATTAATTTACAAATGATAAATAATGAAATTTTCGAAAAACTGGCTGTTTTTAAACATCTTTGTCTTTGAATCTGAGAATAAATTGTAATTTACTAATGCTTGATTGAAAGATGCTGACAAATCTCTTAAATTACCTGTTTCTACCATTTTCCCCGTTTGATTAAATTTTGACAATTAAGTGGTGATTATAAAAGTCTTCTTTTCGTTTTTCTCAACACATAGAATAAAGCTTATCTTTTGTAGCTTTGTAAATTATGTCATCAAACAGTTAATGAAATATGACATCTTGTAAGATGAAATCGGTTCACTGGGCTTAAAAATATAGCTCTTTATACTAGGATAAAAATTGCTGTTTTTACCATTTCGATGGACATATCTCAGGCCCAAAGGAACCTGTGCAAGTTCTGAGCTGACCGTTGAATGGTGGCCGAAGAGGGCAACCAACCACCCGAAAGTAACTTAGAGCCTTGCAGCAAGACGGTTCCGCGGGAGGCCAAGGCACGGGACCGAAGTCAGATCTATGGAACCCAACTCAGAGACCCAACTGCGGTGGTATTCGCGTTCCAAACCATATCTTCCTGCCAGAGGATTCCATGGAACTCGAACGCTTATACAGAAAAGAAAAGTCTTCCCGGATCTCCGTTTTATTCTATGTGTCAAGAAAAACGAAATAAAATCTACAAGGAGAACAATTCCTATAGCTGGCTGTATACCACGTATCACAAAAAAGAGGTTAGTCTTCGTAAATAGGTATATAACCCATTATATAACGAAACGTCTTCTTTTTGTTTTTCTTGCCATATAGATTAAAACTTATCTTTTGTGGCTTTGTAAATTATTTTATCAAACAGTTGATGAAATATGACATATTGTGTGATAAAATTAGTTCACTGGGCTTAAAGATATAACTCTTTAAACTAGGACAAAAATGGCTATTTTTGATCCTTTCGATGGACATATTTTAGGCCCAGAGGAACCTAGAGGGCTAAAAAATAGCAGCTACAGGTTACTTTTTAATACACAATGATAAACTAAAATTTGGTAACCATATTAACGGACTTTACAGATATTAACTCTTTAAGAGTTGTTGGCTCTTAATCAGTCTTTGAAAAAATGAAAATTATTTGTCTTATTAATCAGGAATCTACATTTTTGTATTATCTATACCATTTACACACAAATTTATAGTTATTAATGAATGCAATATAAAAATTTTATCTTACCTGGGAATGGTATTATATTAGCTGTAACAGAAAATTAAACGTTTAAAATATTTATGTGACGCTTGAAAATAAAAAAAAAAAACAAAAATTTACATAGTCTTTTCTACATTACAGTGTGCGTTGTAAATCCATTTCAACTGTTTTGTGATTTATAAAACAAATCATTATAAATTTTTATGTATCCACAGTATAGCTCTTGCTAATTAGTTTTATAAAATAGACACATTAGAATAATCTAGGGAACACCGATAGTAATAGCAATCAATGTTAGCTGCCAATATAAAAATAAATTTGTTTTTTTAATCCTTTTTGTTGTTTTTTCGATTACTGTAACTTGGGCGGTAACGCTGAGAGTAGTGGCTATGAACATTTAACAAAACTTCAATATTTGTTTTTTGTCTATAAGATAAAAAGTAATATTTCTTTATTGATACTTAATTTTGAATGTCTATGTGGATTTTTATTTAGTTATGCAATTTCCAATCAATTAAATCGCAAAACGCAGTGGAGTGCTTTCGGGATGCTTTAGGCTGGCAGAAGTCAAAGAGACGTTGCTGAGGTCTTGTACACGAACACAAGTATCATTAATCGTTTCTGGTTAACGTGTCAAGAAACTGCTGAACGTCATAGAGGATAACCAACTAGATTGAAGACCGTTTTATTAGGTTGCAGGCTTTGCGAGATCGCACTGTTACTGCAATCATAATTACAATGTGTTACAATCATGTTACATATCATAATTACAAATTAGGTTACAAGAGATCCACAAGGTGTTTGTAAGTAGCCAAATCATTAGAATTAGACAGCATATAGGGTTAAATGCTTGAAGACCTGTAAGTGACTGTGTTATCCAGAGAAAATCCCACTCATCGACTTTAGTGGGCATAAGAACGCGCAAATTGGATTAGATGTGAGTGGGCCTCTAATTTGTTTACAGATAGTTGCGCTTCAGATTTACACCAGACACAAGACGAACAAGAATTTGAAGATCATCTGGCGATGCACATCTTTATTTGTAGCATATTCAACACAGCGGCAGTATTATGATATACAATGGCATCATTCTTGATGGAAGAACCGATCTCGTGTGTCTGGAACAGTATCTGAATGCAACAGACTACCGCGATATTATTCTGGAACCTATTGTTATACTTTTTGCATAACAAGCTGATCCCCAATTTCAATCAATTAATGCACGGCAATGCGCCTCCGAATAGTGCCAGAGTCGTGCAAACATTCCTCAAAGATAACGAAATTAAGATTTTACTATGGCCTACACAATAGCCAGATTTAATTCCAATTGAAAACATGTGTTATGCCTCTGCGAGGCTCTAGATCATAAAAGACGAAAACTGTACGGAAATCCAAGAGGAGACTCTAATATATTTAGGACACATCAAGTAATCACGACCAGTACAAACTTTTAAAGGATACAAAAAATTTAGATTATGTGTAGAAAATGTGGGTTGGTAAAACAGTGGGCAACAAACACAATAAGCTTTAGCTTCAGTGCTAAGGGAGATCTTTTTGTTCAGAAGAGGCCAGGGAGAAAAAAAAGAGTAAAAGACAAAATAAGATCTAGTAGGGACACCTAAAGAGGACATATGTTTGAAGGATATAGATATTTGTACGAGACAAAATAGAAAATTATAAAGTGTAACTTTAAAAGCCGACACTGCATACGGATTAGGGTAAAGGTAATCCGTGCTAATAATATATCATTGCATGGATATCTCCATTTCTTTTCTAATGTTATTAAAATTCTCTACTGCAATCTAAAAATAATTACATGTAATTTGTGTAAATTTAAATATATAAAATACAGTTGTAAAATATACTTACAACAGTCTACATCTTCTTTAATGTCGCATGCTTTAACTTTGTCATTCCAATATGTTCCATCATGACAAGTATTTATCTCAGGAGCTCCGTTATTACACGAATAATATTTTTGACAGTCATAAGGATAGTATTCGAATACTTCTAAACCATTTTTGCAGTCTTCAGCTATATCTTTTAGTAAATTAATAATAGCATGATCAAACGTAGATTTTGCATGTCTAGCTGAAGTGTACTGAGTAACTAAAACAATTTTTAAAATATTAACAATTCAGTAATTAAAAAAATACACTTTTTTGTGTATACAAAAATACAATAAATATTAAAAAATACCCTTTTTTGACATAGTTTTTATGGTATCCATCTCCCTATGTCCCAAGTCAACTACAAGAAGTTCTTATATGTTCATTATTGAATAGGGCGTTGCTATACTCGACAAAATAATGATTACTTAAACTCTTATAATATTTATTAGCGGAAAAACGGGAAGTTAAATGTTGAAAATCCAACGATGAAAATGCATTTTAAATATTACTTTTACAACTGAAGATAAAACTGCTCTTTAAATAGGTTTTAAAAAACAAAAGCATGTTACTACACCTATCAGGGTTAATGACAAATTTTATCCCATCAAATTTTTCGTAACTGCAGCAAACATTTGATCATTAATCTTGAAAAAAAACGTAGTCTTACGGCAAAATTTTGCTTGTCTCTAAAACCTCGACACTAGACGCGCTATGGGAATGGCCCGATCATATTTTGCAGCTCTAACTGTTGGCACGAGAACTGGAATTCCACTTGTCGTTGAATCTCGGCTTAAACTAGCTAGTGTTATTATTATGAGTACAACAAACTAAAAACGTTCTTCAAGCTGAGATCCAATGGCGCGAGGAATGCCAGTTCTTGCACCAACACAGTTCTTCTTCTTTTGGTGCCTATCCTCTGTGGATGTTGGCAATCACTTTGGTCCATACAACTTTGTTGACAGCTGCTCTAAATATTTTATGCCGTATATGTCACAGGCTTCCACTACACGGTCTTTTAATGTTTGTAGATCCTCCGCATTATCAGCAATGAAAGCCATATCGTCTGCATATCTTAAATTGTTTATGATTTCACCACTGATATTTATAATTTCTCTTAAACCATCAATAGCTTCCCTGAACAGGGATGTTTCCGAGTAACTATTAAACAAAGTAGATGACAAAATGCAGTACTGACGTACGCCCCGTTTTATCGTGAATTTTTGTGAGGTTTCGTTGTCTATTTGTACAGTTGCCCTTTGCTGTAAGTATAAATTTTTAATTAGGCCTAAATATTTGTCATCAATACTAGATTTTTTTAGTATCTGAAATAATTTTTGATATTGCCCTTGTCAAATGCTTTTTCAAAGTTTATACGTCTCGAGCTCTTTGTATCAATACTTGTATGAAAAATAGATCCTCTCGCGTTCCTAGTCCGCTTCTAAACTTAAAGTGAATGTGCTAATGTTTTCTTCAAGTTTTCTATATATGCGAAAGTGAATAACAGAAAGAAGGATTTTGAGTGCATGGCTCATTAAGCGTACAATTCTATAATCAGAGAATCTGGCGGAATTTCTCTTTTTGGGGAGAGGGATGAAAGTGGAAACTAGCCAATCTGTAGGAAATTCTGCAGTTTTAAAAATTTTGTTCAGTAGACTCGTTAGGAGTTAGGGGTTTGGTCAGTAGACTCGTTGGTTGATTTCAAATAGTTTCAATATTTCAGCTTTTATGTTATTATTTCCAGATGCTTTGTTGGTTTTTAGTCTTTTTATTGCCTATGTTACTTCACTGAGTGTTATTTCTGGTCCCCAATATCCAGAAACATTGACTTCTGTATCTTGATCTTCCTAGAATAATTCTTTCGTGTATTGCCTCCATATGTCAAATATTCTTTTATTTTCGTAGAGCAGATTGTTGTGCTCGTCTAATATTATGTTATGACTTTGTGATCCATTTCCTCTCGTTAAGCTTTTGATCTTTTTATGTAGGTTGAAAGTATCATGCTTCCGTTCTAGGGATTCTATTTCTATGCATTGATATTGTATCCATGATTTTTTTTGTTTTTTATATAAAAAAATAATTGTTTTTTTGCAAATTGGCAACGTGTTGTGTAGATTCCCCGTTTCTCTAATTACATCTTTATCAACGTCTGTTTTGCCTTACAATTCTTAGAAGGCACAGAATAAAGCAAAAATCTGAATTTGGTTTCGACAATTAGAAATATTCGGATTTCGAGTTTTGTAATTTAAATATAACTTATTTTACTTCTGAGTCAATTTTTTTGCTCGCAAGTGTCTATCAAAATCAATGATAATATTATTTGAACTTATTATTAGAAGTATTTCATTTAATTCTATACGACCGTATATAATACCAAATATTTTATAAACGTAATTTTTGCAATACAATTGATTATTTTGTATCTTTTTATTACGTTTATAAAAATGTATGATAATTGAGATCCAAGTGATAATCTTAGGCTGTCTTCGGTATTAAATTTATACTAATTTTAAATTATCTTAACTGCTATCATCATTTTAAAAAATTTACATTATTTTATCGCAGAAAACAATAAAGTAAATTAACCATTTAAAAGGTATTGACAAATATTTATGCAAAGCGTTATTGCAACCGCATATCGAATCTCACAAAATCTTGGATTTATATATTAACCCATTGAGCCGGTGGGATTTAAAAAAGGTTTTGGTAGTACTTATCACATCAAGCAATTTTAAAATCCATTCTATTATATTTAAAGGGTACAACAAAGAAAATGGGAAGGGCGCTAAAAACCGGAAAATAGAAATGATAATAATACCGACAGAAAAAATATATTTTTTACATACGCCAAAAACAGATATATCCTTAGAAAATCAAAGAGTGTACGAGATTCCATGTGGAGACTGTGACACATCGTACATTGGACAGACTAACCTAAGAATTAATGTTAAACGAGAAGAACATTAAAATGACGTCAAAAGGAGGAAAAAACTGAGAATCGATAAAAATAAAAAAACCAACAGTTTAAACCAAAGAGATGATGCTCATGGGCTTTTAACAACATGGAAAACGGTATCTAAGAAAAAGGCAAAAATAAATCAGATTACAAGATTGATCCCTTAGGGTCATCTTACATAGTAAGACCCCTCCTGCCTACACACTAAGCGCAAGGAGCATTACCTAGGACTGTTTGACATAAGAACATCAATATTGACTTTATAAGTAAGCAGTTCGACTGGTAGAGTCAGTTTACTTTATGCACCAGCAAAAATCGCTACTACCAAATAATGATTTTTATCAAAACCAAACTTATTTAACGTGAAGGCCAACCCGGAAAACCCCAGAATCACAGAAATAATTTGGGTAGCATTCTTCCAAAAAAAAACTATATCTTATGGCGAGCCGTTTACCCCTAAAAAGATGCTTAAAATCGAAATATAACGACTTCATTATGTTTGCATTCCTCCCGTATGAAACGGTATTTTTGAAAAGTATACCGTATGAAAAGTATTTTCTTTTTTGAAATATGCCGGAAATTGTTAACGAATAACTTTAATAAAGTACCTTTTTATAATTTATAATAACTTAATGAAAATTAAACAATTTCCTGAATCGCTTCAAGTAAATTTTTTGACGTATCTTATCGAAGTAAACATTTTTCCTTTCAGATAACTTTTTGAGTTATTTGTATTTTTTCTACTGCCTTAATTATTGATTTTTGGGTTTTTTTCTAAAAAACTACTACATAAATTACAATTCTACAAAAACCTACAAAATTTAGTTTTAAATTTAAACAAAAATTTCTAAGCGGGCTTGTATCGTCTCTTAGGTCATACAAGCCCGCGGTAGGGTACACGCTTATTAATGTTTGCACTCGAAATGCATATTTGAAATATTGGGTTCCATGTTTTGAACAAGATGTAAAACATTTATATTTGTCAAAATAATTGCACTGGTACTTAAAGGTTTTAATATTACAATTCTTTTTATAGAATTGCAGTTAACTCAGTAGTTTTTGAGACAAATTCCAAAAATTATAAATTAAGGCATTTAAGAACGTGGTAAAAAAGTATTTATTTTAATGAGATACTTCAAAAAAAAATGGTACTTAAAGCAATTCGATTTTTTTTTATTATATGTTATTTGATAATTAAAATTTCCGGTTACTTGGAAAATAAAACAAATACATTGGAACTTGAAAAAATATACAAAATCGAATAAAAAGGTTTGGTGCGGTAGAAATACAAGATAAGTTTGAGAGACAGGATTTTAAATATCGACATTCGTGACGGAACAAACATTAATAATATCGTGAAACGTATAGCATGGCTGAAGTGGAATAAAAAAATGAAGATCAAGTGCGAACAAGAGAGGTCTGGGCAAACCGCAGGAAAGGGTCACTGATGATATCTAAGATATCATGAGCAACCAATAGATGAGAATTGGTAAGAGGAGACATAAATGGAAACCATTGGAAGAGATCTATGTCCAGCAGTGAGCAACACGAGTTGAAGAAAACTAAGGAGAAAAATAAAAAGTAAACAAGATTGTAATGGTTTTATAGAAGCTGTTTCTATAAGAAAAATGTGTAACTTAAAACCAAATATGTGATATTGGAAACAGGATCGTAAAACTACTATAACATATGCGTCAGTAGTATGGTGACCAAAGGTCCAGCAAAAATTTGCTGCTCTCAAACTAAGCAACATAAAAAGACTTGCTTACCATGGAATTATGCAAGCTTTGAGTATGCACTCATGACCTCGACCTCTTTACTCCAGTCTACGTCGATATTATGCCAGAATAGGATATTACAGCCTGAAATAAAACTTAAGCAATGTAATGGTTAGATTACGACATCTTTTTTTTTCAGTCCTAACCCCCCACAACGAGTGTAGTGGTCGTCGTGATTGACTGTCTCCAAATATCTCTGTCTCTGGTCACTTCTTCAAACTTATGCATAAGTTTTTTTGCATATTATTGTAACTTGGTCAATCCATCTTGTTAATGATTTAATTCGTGATCGACTAATGAAACCGAAGTTACTATATGGATAATGACCTCTAACTAGATAGTAACATGATAGGGGCCTATAATACCTTCTTAATTACCCAATTTATTTCATTGACCCATGAAATGGATTACGGAGCACATTTTTGTAAATGCTCTAAAAGATATTGATAAAAGCATTTCAATAAATGGAGTCAAACTTAATAACCTGCGATATGCAGATGATACAATAGTGTTTCCAATACTATAAAAGGGCTGCAAAACTTAATGAACCCATTAAGCACTTAATGACACTTAATGACAGGCACCCTAAGAAGAAGTTGAAAAGGATGGGACAGAGGAAAAGACAAATTAGGCTGCAGGATTTTATCTGAAACACCGACAAATTTAAAACTGTCGATGGATCGAGTGTAGAGATATTTAGTACTTGTGTTTTGGATAGAAGAACCATTTAAATTACTTATTGGACATTTATAAGCAAATTGTAATATCAACTACCATAGTAAAGATATTGATCATAAAAATGTTATAAAATAATTTGCAAAATATAATGTACTTACCACCTAATACACTAACCAGTACTAAAATAAAATTCATTGTATTTTTCATTTTACTTTTTCAAAATACTGATCAAATTAGCTGCTCGTTATACAAGACAAAAATTTTATAGCTTTTTTACCGGATAAGGTTAATAATCAAACAATTGTTTATCAGTAAAAATTGCTTAGGATAAACAGATTTGGACAGAACAAAACAATAAAAGATAAATTATTATACATTAGTTCTTCAAATTAATGTACACTTCACCTTGAAGTCTTGATTGATTCTTTGATTGAAATAATTGATAACAGTCTTGGTGACACTGTTTTGGTGGAAATTTTTATCTATTAAGCTAAGTGATAACAATAATATAGTCACACGAAACATATTTTAATATATTCTAACGAAGAAAGTCATGTTTTTTTTCATAAAATACCATCTACAGATAGGCTGTGTTTTATTTAATAAATACAGACAGAAGTATAGGCTGTGTTTTATTTAATAAATACCAAACATTCCAACTTCGCTTCTATTCTAATATGTATTTCCTTAGTTTTGGTTCGTGATATGTAACATTACAGAAAAAATTCGTGCGATATTCATTATTTTAGTAAATTAGATTAAGTAAGATTATATACAAGATGTACAGATATAAAAGAGATTTACTCAATGGGTGTGGGGTAAACTGAATAACTTTTTACCCAATGCGGCCTGAAAAAAAGAGGAGTGATACCAGAGTAAGACCTCTGTAAAAATCAACAGTTTGGTTTGCCTGACATATAGTACCATATAAGGGCCCCGGGTTAGAAATTTTGCATTTTCTATGCAAAATTCTCCTAATAATACAAAAAACCATATAAATTTGTACGTTATAATTTGTATCGGTACAATTGGTGTAAGAGCAATGCACCAATTAGCTTAAAGAAATTTTTTAATCAATGTGTCATATCTGTTTATACTTTCGCTGCCGTTGAGACACTGTATCAGATAATGGTATCCGCACGTAAACTGTAAGTGATGCAGCTAAAATAAATATTGGGGCCAACCCTGTCCGAATTCGGGACTATCGAAACTGTTGTGCCACAGGGGGCTCTGCTGTCGCCATATTTATACACCATATATACGTCAGACACACCATTTAAACCTAATTCCATGCTAGGTCTGTACGCAGGCAATAAAGTGGTAGCTGCTTGCAGTGTTAATCCAGATCTAGCTAGGATACATCTACAAAGAGTGCCCAAAGACCTTAAGGCATCGTGTGCAGTGGAAAATAGTCATCAACCCCAATCAAACACAGGCCATCATGTACCCAAAAAGAAAAGGCAGACCAAATGAGAATACTTATTTGATATCCCAGTCGAATGGTCAAACCAAGCCAAACTAGACTTATCTAGACATAACGTTGGATAAGAAGCTGACTTTTACAGAGCACGTAAAACAAACGGCTAACAAAGCTAAAGCACTCAGGAGTTAACTCCCATTTCTAATATGTTGAACGAGTAAACTGAAATTTAAAACAAAGATTAGGATGGTAAACTGCATAATTTTGCCAATACTAACATACACCTCAGCAACATGGGGACATACGTGTTAAACCAATAGAAAAAGGATACATACCGTCCAAAACTTAATATTTAGGGAAGCTCTGAATATTCGTAAGTATGTCCCATTAAGGTACGTATTTAGCGATTCACAACAATAAAGACTCCTAAGAACAATGGACGAAAGAGCACACGAGATATTAAACAACTTCAGGAACCACCAGAGCATATTATTAAGAGAGTTGACAGACTATGACAAAATCCTAAGGAAGAAACATAGACGGACCAGGCAGCAGCTAGCAGAATATATACATAACCCAGAAGATTAATAAAAAGGGAGATAGCCATGCGATAGTCTAACGTACGCAGTAACAGAAAAAAAATCAATATAATATCTTATTTCTTTTATTAAGTTATGTTTTATTTTACTAACCAGTTATACTGTAAAAGATAAAAAACAAAAAATATATATATGGGTGTGTGATGGCCGTATACTCCTAGGAGTGCTAACCCCTTCCATTGCTACTTTCTTTATATTATTACTTTATCTTAACCTTCACGAACAATCCTCTGTTACAGCAGTTATTCCAACGCTGCAACCACATCAAGTGAATTCTGAGGCACAAACATAACAGCACCCCTCAGGCAAAACAGCCCTTCAGGCACGTCAAAGAACTTATAGTCGCCACACCTGAGCATCAAGATAACGTGCGACAAGCTTGAGTCCGGTGGCCAGACCGTGGCCAGATTTTATTTGCCGATTCAGCGGCTGCGTGAACACACTTTTGAGTTACAAGTCCAAAGTCAAGTAAAGTAATAAATTTAATCAGTCATGTGGAGAAAAGCTCACCTAGCTACTACTAAAATTAGGAGGCCTTACTTCACAAAGTAAACCAGAGGATGTCCCTTTACACAAAGGTGATGGGGAGGGGAGGTTGACTATGGCTTGGGAGTCAGATAGGTTCCGCTCCAGTAAGGAGTGTGACCAATTTACTCTTCGGACATGTGGGTCCCACTAATCCATTGGAATACACAGTATGTATGGGTGTGGAATTTAAATAAAAGTCTTTTGGTCATTTTATTGTTTTTTCTCAGGATATATTCTCACATCGGGATATCTGTAATTATTACTTAGGCTACCCTGTAAGTTAATTATTATATTTTATACTTGGTCCTATTAATTTTAATACAGCTTTACCACAATTATTATTACTAGCAATAAATCGTTTTATTAATAATTCTCAAAGATAAAATAATTTAAAATACAGTAAAAATTTTCATTATATTTACTGGAACACTTAAAATAAAATTAATATAAATATTTTTTATCATTTGGTATCCGGTAGTATTTTTAATATTCAACTTGTATTGTCGTTGGTTATATCTCATAAATTATTTCATAACACTTATTATAGAAGATACGCAATTAATACAAACTTAGATGCAAGATTCTTCCAAAAATCTTCTTGATTAATACTGTATATGAGAGCCAGAGTCCCAAACCCAAAAGTCCTTTATTGCAATTTTTCAGAAAGGCGCGAAATCACAAATATCACGCTTATATTCTAAGTAAATCTGTTTAGTTTACTTTAATAGACTTTCAGTTTTAAAAGATATATGACTATATATATATATATATATATATATATATATATATATATATATATAATATATTATATATATATATATATTTATATGTATATATATATGTATATATATATATATACATATATATATATATATATATATATATATATATATATATATATATATAATAATAAATAATAAAAACAAATGAAACTAAGATAACTACTAAGTTTATACAAAGGGTAAAATAGCTGGCTTGTTCACACCTTAATAGTGAAAATTTGCTTAAGGCACTAAACACCTACGCATGTTCCGCGCTTAGCTACTCAGTTGATATTGTTAAGTGGACCAAAACGGATATTAAAAATTTTCAACGAAAAGTACGAACACACCACACAAAGGCACAAAAAGACCATCCTGGAAGTGCAGTAGAAAGAAAGATATTAGCGCGGTATTAAGGAGGACAAGGACCTCTGGATATAAAAAAATGTATATATGAGCAACTAAAGAAACAGATTACTAATTTATGAAGTTATTTTCAGGTGCAGGTTGAGACATCTGTTCGACATTGCGCGATTTGTGCAGTAGATGATACAATACCGATCAAACTGTGGGAACCAGAAATAAGCATAAACCATTCTACTTACGTAAAAATGCGTACCTGGATGGGTAAACCTCTGCATAGAAGACTTCCTATTGAGATCAGTAGCGTCTATCTATTGGCTGACAGGAAAGATGTTTCCTGAAACAGCAGGTTCATTACTCGCCATTCAGGATCAAACATTACCTGAAATATATCGTCATAGACCCTAAGGTCCAAGATGACAAATGCCGATATGGATCAAGCTCAAGAAATCACTTAACATCTTACCGGTGGCTATGGTCGGAGGCATTTACTGCAACTAAATATAAGCAACAGCTCAGTAGAAAATACACTTGATCAAGAGATAGCCATCAAACTGGGACTTCTCCAAACAAACCATCTCGTATATTATCAATACGTTCCTTAAAGTATACTTGAGAATGACAACTAAAAAACCAAATAATAGACCAGACCTCATACTAGTTAATAAACTTAAGAGACAAACAACACTAATTGATGTTGCGACACCCAACAACAATATTCTTTTTATTAAACAGAACGAAAAGGTCGCCCAGTATAGGGATCTTAAAATTCAAATGCAAAGATAGTGGAGAATGGAAAGTACCTAGACAATACCTATTATTCTTTCTATTACTGAAGTCATTTCAAAGAATCTCGTAGAAAACATAAAAAAGCTAGGTCTGAATAAACATCTCTACAAGACCATGCAAAAAGCTGTACTACTCGCAATGTCCAGATGTGTGCGAAAATTTTTGGGAGATACTCCAGCTTATCAAGTCACCTAGGGCTCGAGAACACGGAAAGAGTCCCACCAGAGCTCAATTTTTTTGATAATGTCATTGGTCAGGTATCCGGGACAAGTGTGAGCCGTATTGCTAAATCTGGACAAATATATCTAAAATAATAGCTAATCTGGTAGATGAAAAAGGGTTGTGGTAACAGGTGACTAAACTTTAACCCTTTCGCTCATAGTGTTCTCATATGAGGACATAAAATTCTTCATTTTTTGTATTACTCGAACAACTGTGGTGGCCGTTTATTCATGTTGTTCCCATACAGACACACAAGAAACTTTAATTTAACACATATATCGCCACCTAGTTGTGGGTAGAACCACTACAAAATGGATTTGAAAATGTGACGTAGAAACCATTGTGAAACTTTCCTCTGACGTTGACAGAATATCAGATGGTAACTTTATTGTTTTGTTTTGATATATTGTAACAGTCGTGATATAGGTAGTAAAGAAGTGTACATTTAAGCCCAGATAATTAGACTTGACTAAAATTGTGCTAGTTTTGTTGATTTTGTTGTCTGAAAAGTATTGTGCTCATATGAGGACAGTGTGAATAAGTGAACTAAATTAGAGGTAAGTTAGTTTTTGCGTTGGATATTATGAAATAATTAATTTGCTGTTTTCTTCAAATACTAGTGCTTCAA